GTTGGGAAACTTTCCTATAGGCTAGCTTCGTTGGGCGACTTGGTTGGCTATCTGGACTAGAGATCAACATTCCATATATCAATTTTCTCAAGATGTACATAAATCCCTAAGCATGAAGCATGTAAGGATGAAGTGTTTGGTGCATTGGCGTCTTGGTTGATAATCCAAAATATTATTTTTCGGATGTACATAGTTCCCCAAGCGCGAGGCCTGAAGGGTCGAAGCTCTTAAGGTATTGGCGTCCTAGTTAATAATCCAGAGTATTATTTTACGGATGTACATAGCCCCCCAAGTGTGAGGCATGAAGGGTTGAAGCGCTTAAGTTGAATAGTGTTCTGGTAGAGACTCATTGCTCGAGTTAGGACTCTTAAGTCCTTGTCCTTCTTGATTCTTTTCAAATGTCTTATGGCGGTTTCATGTTGAATACTCTTGGTCGATTTGCTTTCTTTTGAAGCGTTTTTATGCGACTTGAGTATTTTCTCATGCTTGAACGCCTCTAGGCGATTTAGTTTTTTGTGTATGATGCTTTTGAGCTCTGATTTAACATGTTCAGGCTTTACGTTTATTTTTTAAATTCTAGTGTCGTGTTTCTTGTGAGGGACGGACAAGCACTCATAGTGCGAGTCTAGGACTCTTAAGTCTCTACTCGTCTTATTCCCCTCCAAATTCTTTCGATGCTTCGGCTTCGGGAAAGTTGGATAGGTACTCCGCCTTGGGGAAAATCTTGGATTAGATAGCCCTTAGTTGGGGTTTTCGGGCGAGTCTCCCCCATTTGAGGTTTTGGATTAAAGCGCCCCGGGTGGAGGTCTTGGGTTAAATTGCCCCCGATAGAGGTCTTGGGTTAAATCTCCCCTTGTATAGGTCTTTGGTTAAAAGTGCCCCCGATGGAGGTCTTGGGTTAAATCGCCATCGGTGGAAGTCTTAGGCTAAATCGCCCCTGGTGAAGGTGTTTGGTTAAAGTGCCCCTGGAGGAGGTCTTGGGTTAAATTGCCCCCGGTGGAGGTCTTGGGCTAAATCACCCTCGGTGGAGGTCTTGGACTGAATCGCCTCTGGTGGAGGTCTTTGGTTAAAGCGCCCCTATGGAGGTCTTGGGTTAAGGTGTCACTGTTAACACGTAAATACATAGCATATTTCGACCCGATTCACATGCATTTTACTTTCGATTTTATATGTTTTCGTGGAATTATGTCAGTATTACTATTTGTTTTAGGTAATTATTGAAGAAGATTGTTCGTGCGAGAAGCCGAAGAAAAGAGCAAGAAATAAAGAGGAAAAAGCAACAAAAAAAGGTTTTTTGGTGCATGGTGGTCGCCATGAACCTCTATTGACACGTCTTCCACATTTTAAGGTGATGGTGGTCGCCATCACCCTCATGGCGGTCGCCATGGCTGCACAATTCAGAAAAATAAGAAAACATAATGAACCAGTCCACACCCACTTTCCCTGTTTATTCTCCACGAATCCCACACGACTTGGGACACTCTCCAGGAGCTAAAGACACTATATAATTGCAGTTTTCATGTGATTTTATCATCCAAGTTTCACCGTATCAATTGTGCAAGTGCAGAGGAATAGTTTTAGGCAGCAAATCACTCTTGTAAAGTGGTAGATTTATCGCATTGGGGAACTAACACACCATTAATACTATGACTCTTGTTTGTACGCTTGGATCAACAATCTTGTCGATATTAATTCAAAGCTTTTATCCCAGTTTCAAGTTTTATTATGATTATGGCTTTATTCCACTTTATTTCATTTGTTTTACTTTCAAGTTTATTTATCCACAATTATTTTTGTTTCTTGTTCTTATAATATTGCTTCATCATCTCAATTTTGAATATGTCTACGTTTCTGGTTAATAATTATATCTGCATGTGTGCTCAAAAAGCCATGTCTGACTAAACTGTTTTGAGTTTGTATGTGAGGACCTTCGCTTCGACGGGACTCGGTAATAAATTGGCGTAATTTCTCTTTTCACAAAAAAAAAAAATTCTGGTTCAATCTTTAATATTAATAATTGAAAGATTTTGCACGACGAGGAAAAACATTAAGGTTTCAAACCATTAAAAACGAGAGTGTGAGCTTTGTACCAGATAGTAAAATTGGAGATTAATTCCTAAATACAACGAGAGCGCTTTGGGATTGATTAGGACTTATAGATTTTCAAAAAGTATTTTATAACTTGAATGGGAGAGCGAGAACAACTATTTGTGATTTTGAAATACAGCGGGAGTCATTAGCAGGAGAGAGTGACACGAACGTTTTTAAACTGATATTTTCTTCTGAAAAGTAATTTTTAATCTTAATAAACGCCAATAAATTATTGAGTCCCAAAGGTGTGTCGTGAGCCGCATACAGATCGCTCTCTTAATATACTTTCTAAATTTCACTTTAGTCATGATTTTAGTTTTAATCCTAATTTGTTTGAATAATTAATTAGTCTTAGATTTACATAGCATCAGTAGGCAACAATAGTTTGATTATTAGTTCTTGTGGGTTCGATATCTATTAAGACTACAAAAGACTCCGTATTCTTGCGGATAACACCCTCAACAAGTTTTTGGCGCAATTTTCAGAGACTAATTTAGTCAATATCGCGACTCTGTTGTTGTGCCGTATAGACTAAGGCAAGACTTACTTTTAACCTCCAGTTGTATGCCAAATACTTGTTCTTCAAACGACGAGTTAGCACAATCAATAAACGAAATCGAGCGTTTCATACACCTAAAATGACGACTTAGAGAATTTTGAATCATGTATAAAATTGCAGATATGGCCACTGCAAATGCGAATCGTTCGCTTAAGGATTTTTCGGCCCCGTCCCAAGAATAGCCACACTCAAGTATAACTCCTCCAGCCATTGAGGCACACAATTTAGAACTAAAGCCCTTTTTGGTACAAATGGTTCAACAGAACCAGTTTTCTGATAACCCAACAGAGGATCTGAACCTCCATCTGTCAGTGCTTGTGCAGTGCACAGACACATTGAAATCCAATGGTGTTGACCCATAAGATATTAGACTACATCTTTTCCCATTTTCCCTAAGGGGCATAGCTAGAGCATGGCTACAATCCTTACCTTTAGGATCTATCACTACATGGAATAAATAGAAGAAATCTTTCTTAGCCTGATACTTCCCCCTAGTAAGACAGCTACGATAAGAAGCCAAATTAATGGATTTAGACAAAAAGACGGAGAATCCATTTTTGAAGCTTGGGAAAGATAAAATAATATGATGAGACTCTGTCTGCACCATGGTTTGGAAGAACGGATAGTTATCCACACATTCTACAAAGGTCTCTTGTATAATACAAGGTTGACCATAGACGCTACAGTAGGCAACGTACTGATGGATAAACCTTACCAAGAAGCCTATCAACTCATAGAAAATATGGCACAAAATCACTATCAATGGGTCAGTGAATGAACAACTGTAAAGAAAACTCAAATGAAAGGCGAATTGTATAAAGTTAGTGGCATAGATCATGTCAGTGCTAAAGTTGACGCCCTAACTCAAAAGATTGAAAGCTTAACTGTAACTCCAACAGCTATTGTAACTGTAGTTACCCATAACTGTGAATTGTGTGGAGTCTTGGACACATCACTACCGAATGTCAACTATTGGCGGAAATTTCTCTTGACCAATTAAATTACGCCCAAAGGAACCCATATTCAAACACATACAACCAATGATGGAGGAATCATCCAAATATCTCTTACAATAATAACAATGCATTATTTGCTCCAAACCAAGCACCCAACACCCCTCTTGGTTTTTAAAAAGCAGCATTAACTTCTCCTCAAGCGCCCAAAAAGTCAAACCTTGAACTTATGATGGAAAACTTTGTTGCCTCTCAAACTCAACAAAATAAGGAATTCGTGAACCAAAACATTCACACCAATGAATTGGTAAAATAATTGGCAAATAAGGTAGACGCTTTAGCCACTCATAATAAAATGCTTGAAACATAAATTTCTCAAGTGACACAGCAACCAACAGTTATTGCTGCCCCATCAAGCGTTTTTCTTAGCCAACCACAACCAAACTCGAAGAGCCATGCCAATGTTATCACACTACCCACAAATGGAATTCATTATTTGTCCCAGAAGACAAAAAAACAAACTTGTTTCCATGTTTAACTTCAATTTCAACCTTAAACCTAAGTTGTAAAAATAATGTTGCGTTACATATAATTAATATCAAGTTGATAACAAATAAAACAAATTAAGTTATAACATTATGATTACTTGGTGATTGGGTTGGAATTGTTATCAGAGCAGTTGCATTGAAAGGGGAACCCAGGTGATGGTTGGTTTTGTTACATGTTGCACACATTTTATAATACCACCCAAAATGGTTTTCCTTGAACCATTTTGTTGTGTCAATAGTATTAACAAAGGTTTCCTACGATAATAAAGAGTAGCAACTTTTATGCAGTACAAAATATAACTAAGCAATTCTTATTAAGTTGTTATGCAATCCAACGTATCAATAGCATATTCCTTTATTGCCACTCTAAAATTTCCAAATTTAATTTCTAAGGAAAATTTTACTCACCTTAGATAAACAAATCATATCTCCAATAGTTTTCACATCCCGAGAAAAGGAGAAAGACTTGTGATTAAATTGACCCTACGAACATGAATTAAGTGACCGTGTTTGGGAATCCATTGGAGATGGATTTCCATCTACAAATCTGTGAGTTAATACAATAATATTCAAATCATCAGGATGCGTTTCAATCTCAAATAAGATAAAAACTAAAAATTTCATGCATAGTGGATTATCTTTAATAATCGTAAACCAAAAAAAATGATTCTTCTCGAATGAACCTTGACTTGAAGTCAACAACTTGAGGATGGTCCACATTGATCAGCAGTTTGGATCCATTTCAAGCATTTGAGATGTTCAGCTTTCCATTGGTTGGAGTATTGGTGAAGCATCATGTTATAGCAATCATAAATATATAATAACATAATAACTATATGGATAATATATTTACAAATTACTTGAACTTTGGTGACACCAAGCATACGTGAGTATGATAATAGGTGCATCAATGTCAGAAGAGTACGTCATGAATTGGCTTGCATACGTTTCCCATAGAGTAAAATCAAGTTCATTTCCACTAAATGAAAAACAAAAATGAGGCTTAAATATATGTTAGTTAGTTGTTAAAGGCCTTGATATGCAGCATGAAGCAAATTGTGGAAACTATGTGTTAAAGATGATTAAAATGCATATTTAAAGGTGTAGTTTAATAAACCTTTCATCAGTCAAACTGAGATTTACGCAAGTTTTTTTCCCAGCTCCTGGAACTTGAGTCCTTGCAACATTCTGTACAACACCAATTATATCTGAAACAAAATTTACATCCAAGTTAAATTGTTGGTTTACCAAATTGACTCTAATTATTGGAATAGATGTTTAACAAAACTTACCGTATAGATAATCAACAACAAAATCTCCTTTTAAGAAATCTTGAAAGGACTTGAATTTGTAAGTATGATGTGGTATTTCAGGAATGTCAATGGATGTGATGGTTGTAGCAACGCTGAAAAATTCTTGAACTCTTTATCACACACTTTCAATGAAAAGTTATTAATCAAAGGTTCTCCGTTATAAATCATGTAAGTTTCATTTTTCTTTAAAAGCGTGTTCCATATCTCAAGTTCTCGGGAACGGGTAACAACATGTATTTGACCACCTTATGCATAAAAAAAACTCAATCAATAATTATCAACATGTAGAAAGAAAATAAAACAAAGCAAATACCTTTGCATCACAAATAATAGCTTCAAGATGTTGCTAACCATTTTGTTCCTTTATGATCCCGAGATCGACAATGTGAATAGCTAGTTTCCATACATTATGTTCAGGCATCAAGTCACATATCGCAATAGGTGGTCTTGACATGGTATCAGGAAGAACTGAACATACATAATAACAACAGTATAAAATGAACACACAAAAATAAAATAGAAAAAAATAAACTTTGCACAACCATGAAACACACTAAGACACACACACAACACCATTTACAGATTTACAGCAACATCAACAAAACCTCAACACACAACAACAACAATAACAGGAAACTCGCAAAAATTCAAAGAAAATCAACGATAAAGATTCACATAACATCGTTTAAAGATTCACAGACCAACAGCGACAAAGAAAATAGAAAAATAAAACTCATCACGGATTTAAACGCACATAATATCGTTAAACACAACATGAACAACAAAACAATTTCATGATAAACTAAAAGCACAACAATACACGATTCCATGATTCCAGGAACAGCAACAACAACATAACAACAACAACAACTCGATTCCAGAAAGAACCATGGTAAACAACGTTAAAACAACAACAACAATATTTTCGGTGAAAAACAACAATACACAAGAATATATCATTTTTAACGGAAAAATACAAGGTCAAGGTTAAAGGAATCAATTGCTTACATGAGTGAAGATGGGTTGAATGGGTTGAAGCTCAAGCAGAGGAAAACCAGGAGAGAGATAGTGAGAAATATGATTTGGGAGACAGAAATGGAAATGTGAAATGAGAGTGATAAAAGTGAAAAGTTACTATGGAAATGGAAAAGTGGTATACACAGGGTAATGTTGGAATTTATATGCATCTATAATTTTTATATAGACAATTGATGATTAATAAATGCATAAATTTTATTTCATACCATAACAAACATATACAATATGGTATTACTATGGTTTTTATTCGTTGTAAATGTATCACATTATCTAGGTAGTAGACTCAGGTGGTAATAAAGTGTTGCCATTGTTGGTTTATTTTGGAAGATTTCCTAGACTTGCACTAAGATTGAACACATTTGCAACCAAGATTTGGATAACAATTTTCACAAGTTTCATCATGCTGACAGTGAAGTGAGACAATAGGACCTCTTGCATATGATATCTTACACATATTTACATGCATATAAACATCACATGATCATCATTAAAAGTTATATCATATTTATTGTAATATTTTTTTAATTGATAAATTCATCTAAAATTTGGAAGAGATTAAGAGTATATGATTATGATTTATAACCTGAAGCAATGATAACGAAAATCAGTAAGATTGCCAATTTCACAGCTGAATATTTTTGGGCATCCATATCATAATGGAAGATAGCTTCTAGTTAGAATTTGTATATGTAGATGCTCTAGAGATAATACCATGCTTTATTTATAATAGTTTGTATAAAGTACTTTTAAAAATGTATCAAATAAACCATTATGAATTATATATATTTTTGGGTCGGCCTTGGGTCAGGGTAACCAGACCCACGGCTCAGGCCTTCAAAAAACTGGGGGCCTTAAAATCGGAAAAGAATTAAAATATTATAATAAACACTATAAGAAAATTAAGATTTTCCGACACAAAAATTGTGGCAGTTACTTAATAATTGTCGTAACTCTAATATAGAAATGTGTTTCACGACAGTATAAATCTATCACCCTTACATTTTAAAAAAATTATTAAATATGACGATGATTATCAATGAACCGCCTTAAAAACATGTTCACGACTGCCTTAAGAACCACCCTAAATTTTACATCAGGACGATACAACAATCGTCGTCCCCTAAAACCCTAGTAACACACGCGCTGTAACCTAAAAACTCATTAAATGTCACGACAGAGAACCAACCGTCGCCCTTTAATACTAAAAAAATATTAAAGGTCACGGTGGAGAACCAACCGTCGGCCTCTATTATAATATATTTATGCGTCATGCTAACATGTGTCCTTAAAAATTTAAATATAATAAAATTATATTTAAAATTTCAAAACATTAAATGTATGCGGTTTAAGAGAATATTTCTATAAATAACTTATTAACTTGTGTCTTTGTAGCACAATGTTAGCTTTCTCCTATATTTATTTAATAGGAACATATTATATATAAAAAAATTGTATTACTAAACAACTTTATTTGATGTCTTTTATTCTACTATGATTTGAGTTTGCAACTTTGTTTTAATAGGGAATGTTCTCATATTTGTTGTAAATCTAAAAATTAATAGTGAATTACTTTGTTGTGTTATTATCCATCTAATGAGATTTGTTAGTTAATGTCTGATTTTATTTGTGTTTGTTATGTCATGTCTTGTATTGACTATATAGTTCTTTTCAATTTCCCCCCGAAATCATATAATATTCAGTCGTTATGACGCTGATATCGTTTGTTGGCAATGTATAGAAAATGGATTTCCATGATTTTTGTTTTTTTTTCCCTTCCTGTGTCCAAACATTTCACTTTTCTGGTGAACCTGTGATATGAAAGAGATGACTGTGTTGTTAAATGTATTGCTGTAACATTTTAAGTATACCCCATATTTACACTGTATACTAGTCTTTGACCAATATTTGCATCTTCCCTCTCTACAGTGAATGATGTCGAATTCTTCTTGTTTTCGCCATTTTTCTTATTGTGTTATATAACTTGATCTTGTATCTGGTTGTTATCTATATCTAACATATATGCATTGTATGCTGTTACATTAACATGGTTTTGTACAATTTTCTTATTGTGTTGAACTTGTCTTTTACATGTATTTGTTTCTCCCATCTTTGCACTGAATGATGTTGTATTAACCTTAACATGAAATTGTCCCAGATTTGTATTAATCTTAACTTGAAATTGTCCCAGTTTTCTCACTGGAGTAAATTTGGATTCAGTTCTTTCGATGGTTGTGTGATTTTCTCACTGCAGTAAGTTTTGAAGTGCCTTTGAGTTCAATGCTGATGAATATATCTAAATTTCTAATCATTGTGTCAGTATAGAATGTTGCTTCGAGATGTAATTTTGATAATGATTGTGTGAAAACATTTTCTGTCGCATGCCAAAAGGAAGGTTTAGAACTATATGGCATTGTCACGTGTTGGTGTCAGATACCTACACTGACACTTGTAATTATGTTTAATTTATTCATTTTTTTCAAATTATGTCAGTGTTTATGGTGTCAATGCTTCCTAGAAAAGTTGAAATTTGATACTAGCTCTTAAAAATTTCTTTCAACCGAAAATTTTATTCCTAAATGGCATTGAGTTTTTTTGTATAAATTTTCTGTCATCAATATTCAGCATAATCTGTACTTTCAATAAGCAAAATATTGTGGCTGAATCTCAGTTTTGATTTAACCAGGCTGTTTTCACTGTAGTCTTTAATGTCAGATGATTTACAATTAGTGTGTACTCATTAATGAATGATATATTTGGATGTGTTGCAGAATCCAATGATCCACAAAACTCCAGGGTGATTATCTTCTCCAATTTCAGAGAAAGTGTCAGGTAAAGTTAAATTGAATCATTTCATTATCTTATTCTAAGGGGTTATTTGGAACTTTTAACAATTTGAAAAGTTGTTGGGTTAATTCAATGCAATCAGTGTCATGTAATATGCTAAACACATACAAGATTTTATACATTCCTTTTAAAATTAGAAGTTGGTTTATAATCTTACATATACAAATAAAACAAGATTTTGAAAACTAGAAGAAACCTTATTTTCATTTCCTATTTCATGTCCATTTCAATAAATATTTTTCAGGATGGAATAATCATTAACTCAACTCTTGTATGGTGTCAATTTCATGATTTAAGTTTGCATTATATGGAAACTTTGATCTTATTTCTGTCCCTTTGTTGGTTTGAGTTTAATTTGAAATTCTGGACACACAATATAAATGTCAAAACTGATATCTCAACACACAAGTACAATGTCATGACAAATGTTATGACATCTGTTGACAGAAGAAATTTTTTTACTAAAATAAAAATTATGGATATTTAAGAAAAATGAAGAAGGTAAAAGAACACAAAGAATTGTTAATCCAACTCGGTGCAACTCACCTACTCTGGGGGTTACTAAGCCATGAAGGAAATTCATTATTAGTAGTATTAATTCTAAGCCTAAACAGTCTCAGTTTACAACTTATCACTTAATCCCTATCCCGTACAACTATTACCTAGAAACCTCCTAGATATGAGAACCCCCTCTCACTTTCAATCACCACAGTGATATCTAAATTTCCAATTCCAGGAAATGTCTCAAGAAACCAAAAAGAAGAACACTCTTCAAATACAAAACTCAACTCTTTTGCTTCAAAGCTTCAAGAGTGAGAATAATAACTTGACAAACTGTCAAGTAATAATCAGTCAACTCAAATTCATCAAAAGATACACAAGGACATACAAACAAAATAAAAACTCCCTTGAAGAACCCTCAAGCCCTAAGACTAAGAAAAAACTAGCTTCCCCTTATTTTTTATAAAGTTCTTAAAGAATTTTGGACTAGTTAATTTCTTTTAAATACTCAGTAATCCACGGACCTTGAATCTTCCCCCAGATACTCCTTGTTGCACACACTGAGGGCTGCACCAATTTGTGCGGAAATATCTCCATAAATCTTGGAACAAAGCACAAGATTTCCTAAATTGTCTCAAAGCTTGATTCTGGCTACCTGTGTACAGCTGGAGATAAATCAAATGTTCCAGATTTAATATCCTTGACCTGCAAAAAATCAGTGAGATAAAATCAAAAGGAACCTCACAAAATAAATTTAATCCTGTCAAGAAATAAAACAGCAGCGCCTGTGGTACCAAACCAAGATGTCATGACATCGGCTTCGATAACTGGCTGAAAAACTCATAACAACAAAACTGCTATGACAGTTGATAAGAATGTTGCAACATCTTGATCAACATTAGTATAAAATTATGTTTTTGCAAAATTATACCAAATACTAAAACCATAGAACTAACAATCTCCCCCTTTGAAATTTTTTGACTAAAACAACCAAAGTCCAATTAACTTGGAGAGAGGAATAACACCATAAACAAACTGCACAAATAATATAACAAAGTTACAACAGGTACA